GGACCACAGAAAGGAGGCTTTCACGTTAGATCCAGATCAAATAATCAGCAAACAAGAGAACATGTGGTCTGGGTTACATCACTCAATAAACTCTTTAAGAAGTGAAATTATCAGTTGAAAATAAAGATCATGGAGAAGGATTTAGAAACTTGGGGAGAGTATAAAAAGATAATGCAATTGAAGTATAGGCTGAATACTATTTTGGGGTCTCTGAAGATTTTCTAATAATGAATTTTAAAGGATTAGAAGACTGCAGATAGCCAGGCGGTGGTGGCGCACACCTTTAATGCCAGCACTCGGGAGGCAGAGGCAGGCGGATCTCTGTGAGTTCGAGGCTGGGCTGGACCGACAGCCTCCAAAACAATACAGAGAAGCCCTGTCTCGTAAAACCAAAGAAAAAAAAAGAAGACTGCAGATAGATCCATGTCTATCACCATGCACAAAACTTAAGTCCAAATGGATCAAAGACCTCAATATAAATCCAGCCACACTGAACCTCTTAGGGTAGAAAGTGTGAGGTACCCTTGAACCAATTGGTATAGAAGATAGCTTCCTGAACATAACACCAGTAGCACAGACACTGAGAAGGACCATTAATAAATGGGACCTGCTGAAACTGAGAAGCTTCTGTCAGGCAAAGGACACAGTCAACAAGACAAAACGGCAGCCCAAAGAATGAGAAAAGATATTCACCAACCCCACATTTGACAGAGGGCTGATCTCCAAAATTTACAAAGAACTCAAGAAACAAGTCTCCAAAACACCAAAGGATCCAATTAAAAAGTGGGTTACAGAACTAAATAGAGAATTCTCAATAGAGGATTCTAAAATGGCCGATAGACACTTAAGAAAGTGCTCAACATCCTTAGCCATCAGGGAAATGCAAATCAAAACAACTCTGAGATACCATCTTACTCCTGCCAGAATGGCTAAAATCAAAAACACCAATGACAGTTTATACTGGAGAGGATGTGGAGAAAGGGGAGCACTCCTCCACTGCTGGTGGGAGTACAAACTTGTACAGCCACATTGGAAAACAGTATGGCAGGCAGTTCCTCAGGAAAATTGGGAATCAGTCTACCACAAGATCCAGCGATCCTACTCTTAGGTATATATCCAAAATATGCACATTCATACAACAAGGGCATCTGTCCAACTATGTCCATAGCAGCATTATTTGTAATAGCCAGAAACTGAAAGCAACATAGATACCCCTCAGCTGAAGAATGGATGGACCAAATGTGGTATATTTACACAATGGAGTACTACTCAGCAGAAAAAATTGGAATCTTGAAATTCACAGGCAAATGGATGGCACTTAAAGAAACCATCCTGTGTCAGGTAATCCAGTAGCAAAAAGACACACATGCTATGTACTCACTCATATATGGGTTTTATACATGCAGCAGGGGATTGCCAGCCTACAATCCACACTGCCAGAGAGGCTTTGAAGCAGGGAAGACCCTAAGAGAAATATGCATGGTAACCCAGAGAAGGGGAAGGAGATAGGAATTCCTGAGTGGATTGGGAGCATGCAGGAGGGGAAAGGGGGTTGGGAGAAAGAGGAGGGGAGAAGAGGAGGAGAGAGGATGAAATATGGGAGCAGGAAGATTGACTTGGGGGGGAAGAATAGAGTAGAGCAGGATGAGAGATACCATAATAGTGGGAACCATTGTAGGTTGGTGGAAAGATCTGGCACTAGTGAGATTTCCAGAGATCTACAAAGATGACACAAACTGGCAATCTAAGCAATAGTGGAGAGGCTACCTCAAATGCCCTTCCCCAATAATGAGATTGATAACTACCTTATATGCCATCCTAGAGCCTTCATCCAGTGACTGATGGAAGCAGAGGCAGGCACCTACAGCTAAACACTGGACTGAACTGCTGTAACCCAGTTGGAGAGAGGGAGGAGTGATGAGCAAAGGGGTTAAGGCTGGGTGGGTGAAACCCACAGAGACAGCTGACCTGAACACGGGGGGGGGGGGAGCTCATGGACTCCTGACTCATTGCTGAGCAGCCTGCATGAGACTGATCCAGACCCCCTGAACGTGGGTGTCAGTGAGGAGGTCTCAGCAATCTTTGCGGCCTGTGGTAGTAACTCAGTATTTATCCTTGGCATAGGAATGGACTTTGGAAGCCCATTCCATGTGAAGGGATGCTCTCTCAGCCTGGACACATGGGAGATGACCTAGGTCCTGCCCCAGCTGATATGACAGACTTTGGGGATCCCCCATGGAGGGCCTCACCCTTCCTGGGGAGTGGAGGGGGGAAATGGAGTGCAGAGCAGGCCAGGAGGGGAGGGAGAGGGAGCTGGGGTTGACATATGAAGCAGGTTTGTTTCTTATTTAAATAAAAATAAATAAAAAACCAAAACAAGATACTCAGATCTTGTCCTCTCCAAGATGCCGTGTTCTCCTGCTTCCAGATATTACTATCATATCTGTGGGCTGTATTATGTAAAAATTGAGAAACATCACTGACATTTAGAAGCAGAAAAAAATCAGGACAGCTTGTTTACCTATGACTTTCAGTAGATAGGCTCCTAGTCAGGCTGTTCTAGTTAGGTTAGATGTACCTCCATATCTCCAAGCACATGATTATTTGCCTCTTCATAATGAGTTTCACTTTTAAAATTTCTTTAAGATGGTGTTAATACTCTGATTATTTACTTAAATGTTTGGTCTGGTGACTTTTGTACTCTGGTACACTGATAGATTTCCCCCACATGGATTTCTCTTTGTTATTTAAAGTGTGGGCCATGGATTGCTTCTTGATATACTGAAGAAACGCATATCCTATTCTCTCTGCATCAACATGTATGCAAAACAATCAATCCACAATGCTGAATATGGTGTTTCAACTTTTTTCTGAAATATGATATAAAAGAAATGTTTTTCATGGAGAAATTTAACCCGCATTTTTCATACTTCTGGATTATGTGAAGAGTTTCAGCTTTGGTACAACTACTGTTAGACTTCAAAGCAGAGTGACTACATTTCTTATACCAGCTTATTATTTTCCTGGAATCATTAATAGCTTTATCATTACCATAAGTTTTCTGGTGAGAAATAGATGGCACTGACTATTAGTTATTAATCCTGGAAAAGAATGTCTTTACTAACTTTCTGGTGATATTTTTTGATGTCCAAGTGCATATAAGAGCGGTTGCCACAATCTTATCATTGGCACCATTACTACCACCCAAAAGGCTTGAGTTTAAAAAAATGTAATCTTACTATCTCAGTTTCTCTCTTGCTTTATAAATTATTCTATGTATCTTTACTTTCAAGTCTAAAGTGCTTTGCTGTATCTCCTTCTTGGAATAAGGCAAGGTGTGAATTAATGAATTTAAATTAATCCAATGACTGGCGTGATGGCTCAGTGATTAAGAGCACTGGCTGCTCTTTCAGAGGATTTGCGTTTGATTCCCAAGACGCATGTGACAGCTCACAACCATTTGTACCTCCAGTTCCAGGGCATTTGACACCCTTGCTGGCCTGCATGGACTCTACACACATGTGATGCACAAATGTATGTACAGGCAAAAATCGCTAATACACATAAATATTTAAAAATTAAAATAGGCCAAAAATGGACAAGTAAGAAGTGCATATGGGTACAATAATTCTACATCTTTAGGCATCATAACGCTTTCATTATGAATCTAAAGCATTCACATTACTGAATCTAAAGAATCTTCATTTATGACCTTGAGTCCAAACTTTTACCACAAGAAATGCACTATGGCCTCTTCCCTAATAGAGGAAAAGTCATGAGTCAAATGATTTAAGTTCACCATGAGAAGAAAGAGTCCCCTTTTAAGACAGGAGACTTGAATACCCTGACATGCCTGATTCTGCTCTTTGTGAGATCAGAGAGTAAATGAGAAATGTTATGGATGTAAGCTCATCTTTCTGACCAAGGTTCATCAGAGTCTTTTCAGGGGGTATGACCTTCCTTTTGGTTTCAGCATTGCATTTTATTTCTTCCTGAGGATGTTTTTGAAGCCAAAACAGAAAAAAAGCCAGGAGACAGAAAAGAAAATTTTAAACAATGAAGGAAAAATACAGGGTCAGTCTCATTCTTCTTTGTCCGTAGGCCTTTTCAAATGAAATTTCACCTCTTTCTTATCTCTAATGTTATGATTCATCTAAGACTCTTTACCCCTCTAGGATGGTTGTTCATAAGACCTGAAACTTATCGATGGATCATCTTATATATTTCACATCATTTAACCATTTCAATGTCAAAGTACTATCTGAAGCTTTTCATTGTCAAATTAATTGTATAAAATGGCTATGTCAAGTTATCATTGACTTTGAAATGACTGGCTAAAGAGCCACAACACAATGTTGTACCTGCATGCATAGCATCTGTGCTTAAAAGAATAGGTTCTATATAGACTTGCAATCACTTTTACACCTCACATCTTTACTTAAATGTGAATATCTTACTTCAAAAACAATAGTGTTACAATTCAGTCCTTGTGCATGTATTTGGAGTATTTTGGTTTTTATCAATTGATTTACAAGGATTGTCTTTTTCTTAAAAATTCATTACAGTATTCTGTAGCTGTCTGATGCTGTATTCAACTGAAATTTTCTCTCCTCGAGGTATTGTCAGCTGTGTATTATCTATGAAGTTTTTCACATTATGACAGTTGAAAGATGGTCTTAAATTCAATCTTTGGTTAAATGCAGTACTTAATGCTTAGATTGTGCCTGAAGTGTAACTCCCATTTACACATCTTCAGAATACCATTTTCTATCACTAGATGGGTGACAGACAGATGATAGTTAGGAGATAGCTATATTAATAGACTCTTGCCAAGTTCTTTTACTTTCGTTCAATTGTCATGTAGTAGGAAGTAGCTTAGAACCATCACGATACATACATGTTAGCATGGAGATGCAATGTGAGCAACTATACACTGTATTTTACATTTCTTTAAAATCATGACTAACCTTTTTTTTCTTCTTACAAACATCTCTGTGTAGAATCCTTGGAATCTATCCCACAACGAAGCTTTTTCCAGAATTTCTTTTTCTCCATCATCACAATTATCCAGAACGAATTCCAAGTAAGTTATCTATACTATAAATGGGAAGTGAAAGGTAAAAAGTGCAAATACTGAAAAAGAAAGTCAAGAGTGTTTCATTTGGAAACAATTTATTTGGACAGTTTAAACTTGTATATTCTTTTACTTTTTGGTGAAGGCAAAGCTGCAGAGACAAGCAGACATAAAACACTGTTTTCAACTCTGCATATCTATATAATGGTATTTTGTCAGCAAAAGATAGCTCATTAGCGTATTTCCTGAGGAAAATCTCAGAAGTGATCAATATTAAACTGTAGAGCTTTTAATTAAAAGCTGTCCTTCCAGTTTAAGCATCACAGTTGCGTAGGCATTCTGAGAAAGAACATGGGGAGTATTCCCTATCAAGCCTCTAGTTTTTATAATATAATTAAAAGAAAAATGGTTCAGTGCTTTCTAGCTTATGAATACACCATTACTTCATTGTGCCTCTTATTTCAATCTAATGAATTCTGCATGACCTCATTTCATATAGAATATAGTCATGATAACCTATTGCATTATAATACTTTAACAACATGTGTATGTTTCATATTTTGAAATATTCTATTTTTTATTTTTAAAATAGCTGTATTGCTCAAGAAGTCAAAGAAGGTACTCTTTACAACTATCCAGCTCAAAACTGGGATGTCTCTCTGGGACCAACTAAGCCTGTTGTAAACTATGGGAGCAATTATTTATCAACCACACAGATGAAGCCAACCTTTGTATGTAAAATCATTTCAATTTCTGTTTATGGTCATCATCATCATAATTCCAGTACAGATGACATAGTGAACATTGGCATTCATTATGCTAAAATGTTAAAACAAAATCAGTTCAGATATAGGGTTAGAAAGTTGACTTTAAATGAATTGCTATACCTACTATTTCAGTAAATAGGATGGGTAAATGGGAGTCAAAGATAGAGAATACATAATATATAATAGGTAGTAATGTATATAGAAATAAATGTATATAGAAATAAATGTAACATGTTTTATTAATTTTTATACTAAATTTATATATAAAATATTTACATTTGCAATCATTAGAAAGGAGATTTGGAACCAATGAGAACTGATTAAATGCTAGGAAACCATCTCAGGGATGTACTAATATTCATCTTGTACAGTAAGATAATGAATGTTGGGACTATAATATCACAAAACTACATGTTTTTCTTACATGCATATCATCCAGCAATGTTTGTTTCTTACTGTAGTGAAGAGATTCTGGATTGCACAGCATCTGAGGCAGTTTAGAAGAATTATTGTACATGTATTTAATAGCTATTTAAAAGCAGCTAACATTAATTATTTTAAATAATTATGAACTTGTAATAGCAACTAAACAGTTTTCTAAAATGACATATAATACATGCCTAATTTTCTAATACATTGGCATATGTAAGCAAGATTAGGTATTCCATTAAATGTCATGCAATTACTTTGATATTTTTAACTTCCTTGCAGGATGTTTCCACATCTGGACCTCTGAGAGCAAACTATACTCCAAAAGAAAAGAAATACTCAGCTTATAAAGAACTAGAAAACCCTTATAAAATAGGCCGTGCACACATAAAATCTGGCTATTAATTTTCCCACAGAAAAAATAAATGTTTGTGTAAATCTATGTATCATTTTGATAGCATTGTTATTATAGTCTAAGAAAATACTAAAATATGATTCATATTCTCTAAATACTTTCCCCCTATAATTCTGCTAATTCTCCTTATGCCTTGAATTTTTTCTTTGATGCCCCCTCATGATGACCATAAGGAAAAACTTTCATTTCGTCTATCAAATTTCATTAATTCAGCAGGTTACAGACATCATTGTATCCAAAATTTGTCACATTGTTTGGGTGTTAATTTATGAATATTTTAGTATGCTCAGTGAAATGCATAGAAGATCGGTTGCAAACTGTTTATAAACAGTAGTGATGTGTAAAGGCACCTGCTGCCAATCCTGATGAACTGAGTTCAAACCCCCAAGATTGATGGCATAAAGAAGAAAGTACAGATCAGGCATTGGTGGTGCATGCCTTTAATTCCAGCACTCAGGAGGCAGAGGCAGGCGGATCTCTGTGAGTTTGAGGCCAGCCTGGTCTACAGAGCTAGTTCCAGAACAGCTTCCAAAACAATACAGAGAAACCCTGTCTCAAACAAAGAAGAAAATACAACGGATGACACCAACTGGCAAGCTAAACAATAGTGGAGAGACCAAATCAAATGCCTATTCCTGATAGTGAACTTGATGTCTATAACCATCCTGGAGCCTTCATCCAGTGACTGATGGAAGCAGAGGGAAACACCCACAGTTAAATACTGAACAGAACCCAAGGAACCCAGCGACAGAGAGAGAGAGAGGAGCAGAGCAAATTGGCAAAGAACAGGCTGGCAAAACCAGCAGAGACAGCTGAACTGAACAGGGGAGAGCTCTTGGACCCCAGACCAACAGCTGGGAGGCCAGCATGGGACCGATCCAGACCCGCTGAATGTGAGAGTCAATGAGGAGGCCTGGGCTACCTATGGGGTCCTGAGCAGTGGATCAGTGTTTATCCCTCGAATACTAACAGACATCGTGTGTCCATAACACAAAGAGGGATTCTCTCTCTGCCTGGACTCTTAGGGAAGCGCCTGGACCCTACCCTGAATCAAATGGTAGACTCTAGATATCCCCTATGTGGAAGGAATTGGCGATAGGGTGGGAGGATGGGGGGGATGGTGGGGGGTGTGGAGGAGGGGAGGGAGAGGGTACTAGGATTGACATGTAAAACTAGCTACTTAAAATAAAAAATGTTGAAAAAAAAGAAGAAAATACAGATGAGGTGGGGAGGGAGGAAGAGCTAACCTAAACAAAAGGTGTATGAAAATATCACATGAAAAGTACTACCTCGTTAAAAGGGTGAGAGAAAGGGAATCCTGCAGTGGTGGATAATACTGCTCCTAAAAGCCATGATTTTTAAGCAAAAATTCCAGTGTTAGCTGTAAAATACTACCTTATGAGATGTTTGTCAGGGAGGCGTCAGAGGTCCCCCTAAGCATAATACAGGCTCCTGGCATTCCTCTTGGTTGCCACCAGAAGCAAGTTGGATAAGAAACCGTTGCTGAAGTCACCACACACCCTGATTTCATGACACAGAGAAATCAAGCTGGAAATGAGATAGGGATTTCTTTCCTGCTGTTAGTTGTCATAGGCCTGAAAAGTGGTATGTTGGCCACTGGGATAATGAAAGCTTCAATGATCTCACTCATCGATGAACACTGCAAGCTACAAAACCAACCTGCCAGATAAGGAATGTCAACTGATACACTAGTGGCACAATTGTTTTGGGACTAACCAACAAATCTCTGGGTTTTTAAAATATTTTTTTTTATTTTTAAATTTAAATTAGAAACAAGGTTGTTTCACATGTCAATTCCAGGTCCCTCTCCATTTCCCTCCCCTCCTTCTGTGCCCTCCCACCAACTCCCTCAATATTCCCTCATTTCCCCAGGGAAGGTGAAGCCCTCCATGGGGGTGTCCATAGTCTGTCATTTCATCCAGGGCAGGGCTTAGAACGTCCCCCAAGAGTTCAGGGTGAGAGTGCATCTTTCACTGTTGGATGGGAGTCCAAAGTCCATTTGAATACCCAGGATAAATACTGATCTACTACCCAAAGCTCAATAGATTACCTAGGACTCCTCACTGACACCCACATTCAGGGGGTCTTGATCAGTCCCATGCTGGATTCCCAGGCTGATGCCTGGGATTCAAGAGCTAACCCTTGTCAGGTCAGCTGTTTCTGGGAGTTAAACCAGAGCAGTCTTAATCCCTTTGGTCATCAGTCCTCCCTCTCTGTCACTGAATTTCTTGAGTTCAGCTCAGTGCTTTGCCGTGAGAGTCTGCCTCTGTTTCCATCAGCCACTGAATGAAGGTTCTGTTTCCCAGACTCTCTGGCCATGGTATTGTAGGCTGGCACTCCCCAGATCTATGTCTAAAATCCATATATGAGAGAGTACATGCCATGTTTCTCTTTTTGTGACTGGGTTACCTCACTCAGGATGGTTTCTTATAGTGCCTTCCATATACCTGCGAATTTCAGGATTCCATTGTTTTTTCTTCTGAATAGTAAGTACTCCATTGTATAAATGTACCACATTTTCTCTATCCACTCTTCGGTTGAGGGGCATCTAGGTTGCTTCCAAGTCCTGGCTATTACAAATAATGCTGCTATGAACATAGTGGAACAGACATCCTTGTTGTAGGAATGGGCATGTTTTTGATATATGCCTAAGAGTGGAGTTGCTGGGTCTTGTGGTAGGTTTATTCCCATTTTTCTGAGGAATCTCCATACTGATTTCCAAAGTGCCTGTACAAGTTGGCACTGACACCAGCAGTAGAGAAGTGTTCCCCTTTCACCACAGCCTCTCCAGCATAAATTGTCATTGGTGTTTTTGATTTTAGCCATTCTGACAGGAGTGAGATGGTATCTTAAGTGCGTCTCAGCCATTTTAGACTCCTCTATTGAAAATTCTCTAGTTCTGTAGCCCATTTTTTGATTGGATCCTTTGGTGTTTTGGAGACTTGCTTCTTGAGTTCTTTGTAAATTTTGGAGATCAGCCCTCTGTCAGATGTGGGGTTAGTGAATATTTTTCCCATTATGTGGGCTGCCTTTTTGCTGACTGTGTCTTTTGCCTTACAGAAGCTTCTCAGTTTCAGGAGGTCCCATTTATTAATTGTTGATCTCACTGTCTGTGCTACTGGTGTTATGTTCAGGAAGCTGTCTCCTATACCAATTCTTTCAAGGGTACCGACCACTTTTTCTTCTAAGAGGTTCAGTGTGGCTGGATTTACGTTGAGGTATTTAATCCATTTGGACTTAAGTTTTGTGCATGGCGATAGACATGGATCCATGCACATTCGTCTACATGCCAGCATCCAGTTATGCCAGCACCATTTGTTGAAGATGATTTCTTTTTTCCATTGTATATCTTTAGCTTCTTTGTCAAAGATCAGATGTTCATACATGTGTGGGATAATATCAGGGTTTTCAATTTGATTACATTGGTCTACCTGTCTATTTTTCTGCCTATACCAAGCTGTTTTCAGGACTATAACTCTATAATAGATCTTTAAGTCAGGGATGGTGATGCTTCTGGATGTTGCCTTGTTGAACAGGGTTGCTTTGGCTATCCTGGGTCTTTTGTTTTTCCATACAAATTTGATTATTGTTCTTTCAAGGTCTGTGAATAATTGTGCTGGTATTTTAATGGGGATTGCACTCAATCTGTAGATTGCTCTTGGCAGTATTGCTATTTTTACTACATTGACCCTACCTATCCAAGAGCATGGGCTTCTTTAATTTCTTTCTTTAAAGACTCAAAGTTCTTCTGTTACAGGTCTTTCACTTGTTTGGTTAGCATTGCCCCAAGGTATTTTATGTTGTTCGTGGCAATTGTAAAGGGTGATGTTTCTCTGATTTCTTTCTCAGCCCTTTTATCATCTGTTTATAGTAGGGCTACTGATTTTCTTGAGTTGATCTTGTAGCCTGACACTTTGCTGAAGGTGTTAATCAGCTGTACGAGTTCCTTGGTAGAGTTCTTTGAGTCATTTATGTAAGCTATCATATCATCTGCAAATACTGAAAGTTTGACCTCTTCCTTTCCAATTAGTATCCCCTTGAACTCCTTTTGTTGTCGTATGTCTCTGGCTAGAACTTCAAGTACAATATTGAAAAGGTATTGAGAGAATGGACAGCCGTGTCTTGTTCCTGATTTTAGCGGAATTGCGTTGAGTTTCTGTCCATTTAGTTTGATGTTGGCTGTTGGTTTACTGTATATAGCTTTTATTATGTTTAAGTATGTTCCTGTTATCCCAGATCTCTCCAAGGCCTTTATCATGAAGGGGTGTTGGATTTTGTCAAAGGCTTTTTCTGCATCTAGTGAGATGATCATGTGATTTTTATTTTTCAGCTTGTTTTTATGGTGGATTACATTGATGGATTTTCGTATGTTGAACCATCCTTGCATCCCTGGGATGAAACCTACTGGATCTTGGTGAATGATTATTTTGATGTGTTCTTGGATCCAATTTGCCAGTATTTTATTGAGTATTTTTGCATCAATGTTCATGAGGGATATTGGTCTGAAGTTCTCTTTCTTAGTTGTGTCTTTGTGTGGCTTTGGGAATCAAGAGTTTGCCAAAGATCCTTCTGCTTCTATTGCATGGAATATTTTGAGAAGAATTGGTATAAGATGTTGTTTGAATTTCTGGGAGAATTCTGCACTGAGGCCATCTGGACCTGGGCTTTTTTTTGGTTGGCAGACTTTTGATGACTGCTACTATTTCTATAGGGGTTATAGGTCTATTTACATTGCTTATCTGTTCTTGATTTAATTTTGGCAAGTGATAGCTATCCAGGAAGGCATCCATTTCCTTTAAATTTTCAAATTTTGTGGAGTACAGGTTTTCAAAGTATGATCTGATGATTCTCTGAATTTCCTCAGAGTCCGTTGTTATGTCACCTTTTCATTTCTGATTTTGTTAATTTGTATGTTCACACCCTGCTGTTCGGTAAGTTTGGACAAAGGTTTGTCTATCTTGTTGAACTTTCAAAGAACCAACTCTTCATTGCATTGATTCTTTGTG